TCATTTGTTTCTTATTCGCTGTTTCAAGAGACCCTATCCCACGTGTTTAAATAACCAAAAAACCATCCAACCAATTAATCAATCAATCAACCGACCAACCAACCAACCAACCAACCAACCAACCAATCAATCAATCAATAAACAAATCAATTAATCAATTATGGTTCGGAGGGGAAAATACCGTTAACAATTGTTTTTAAAACAATTGATTTATATTATTGTAAAAAAAATTTCCACATGCTTGTTATCTGATATACTCTGAAACTACATGTCCAATTGATCTCAAAATTTGCAGTAAGCAGGGTATACATGTATTACATCTTCATAGAACAACGTGGTGCAGCTACCTTCCAAGAATTTCCGTAGAGAAAAGAAATTGCAATGCCGTAAAAACCACTTGCTACCTCCGTAAATCTCAGGGAAATCCTACAATAAAATGTCTGCTCCTAGATTAAAATACAAATCTGTGTTACAAACTGCTGCTGAAAAATGTACATTGTACGAAAATAATCGATAAACGTGTTTTAAAGTTACACAGGATCAATTAATTCCAAAGCATGCACTGCTCGTGAACTGTGATCGAAACGTCAATTACCTACAATGACAAAAGAAAACATTGTGTAAATTCCGTCGCTATGCATGTTGTCTGTTTAACGTCCCCACCTAAAAAGAAATAAAAATACTAAGTTTTCGCTAATATAAAGCCTCGTCACGTGACGCCACAACCTTGCGCGAGACAAAGACGCGCGCGGACCCTGAAATAGAATAAAAAGTTTCCAAACTAAATATAGAAACTTAACCAACACACCAATATGGACCCTTTAAAGAAAGAAACAAACAAACAAACTAACAAACAAACAAACAAACAAACACACATATATCAATCAATCATGTTTCAGAAGGGGGAAAGACCGTTTACAATTGCCTTTTAAAGCAATTGATTTATATTTCTAATTCTTTCTGTTTTGTCATTACCTAATATTTTTTTCCCATCAAAATACACTATGTCACGTGACAAACCGCGTTTTCGTAATGCTTCAGTAACACTAAAATAACATACATAGAAGCATTTAGTTCGTTTAAACTGTTTGCTGGATAAACTTTCATTAAGGATAGGATTGATTGACTTACGCTCTAAGTAGATCATATAATATCCATTGCTTTTGTAGGGGTTTCTTTTGGTGTCCGAATTTATGTGTTCTCTATATGTTTTGACATAACATTTTTTTCACCTTTTTGGTCAATGCTTGTCATGTCTTTGATTCGCGGCTTCTGATTGCCGAAGTGTTCCTTACCATTGGAGTTCGAGTTGAACATTTGATTAAAAAAACATAATAACAAGAAGACAAATAATGCCAAAATAAATCAATTGAATAAGAATTGTTCAATAATTGGCACATGAGGGACCCCAACACACATCAGCTTTTCTCGTACAAAACAAGTACTAATGATAATATAAATATATATTAAATATATATAAAACATTATATAAATATAAAGAATTGTATATTCTACATACAAATATATGCACTTATGTAGTAATAGTTTTCTCAGTACTGTTAACCAGGTTTCTTCAACATATACAATATTTATTTTGCTTAGCTATAATTTTTAATTTAAATAATGAGCCATTATGATCCTCCCTGTGTCTGAAGTTGCAGGTTTAGCAAAAGGCGGTGGTTGTGGTAGTTGGGTTAGCATTATGTTAAAAGATTCCCATTTAAGAGGATAACAGTGCTGGATAATGCCATATTGTCTGCGGTGTCAGTCTGGTAATGTTCGTTGTCCTAAATTGGAATACTTTTAATTGTTCTATGACCACTTATAAAAACCACTTATAAAAACTGTATAATTTATATTTTGTTCAAAAACTGTATGAACTTTTTTAAAGATATTTTGCATATATAGATTCAATACAAGGCATGCCTGTCCGTCACACAGGGTTCACCATGCAAAGCTTGCCATAATTTTATTGATAAGTAGCCAACACCAAGTGTTGGTTATGAAGTTTGGTTCAAAGATACTATCAATAATAAGTTCATTACTCTTAAACTTTGTTTTTTATTTGACCTTTTGATTTTTTTTATTCGAGCATCACTGATGAGTCTTTTGTAGACGAAACGGGCATCCGGTGTACAAAATTTTAACCCTGGTATCTATGATGAGTTCATTGTATTAGGTTTATATAGTTTATCCTCTTATAGTTGATGTGTTTCCCTCGGTTTTAGTTTGTAACCCGGATTTGTTTTCTCTTGATCGATTTATGACTTTTAAACAGCGGTATACTACTGTTGCCTTTATATATAGAATGATAACTTTAAGGATTAATTGAGTTTTTGATGATGCGAATGTTAATTAAATATCAAGTATGATAATAAAGCAATTATATAATTCATGTTTTGAGACGGTCCCTGTACGCGTTGTGTATGTAGTATTTAATACAGCGTGCTATTGTGCATTATGACAATAAAACTGGGAAGAGTTTATTAATATATAATGTCCCAGAATTTACAACGTAATATCTTATATTTCAATCATAGTCTGGGAAAATGTCGTAAAGCATGAGGAAAATTATCAAAACGATAGTTCTGTTATAAATATTTATCATAGGTCGGAAACACAGTGAATGGAAAGCAGAAAGATATTTAAACAAAAGGATTTTTCTGTCAAAAATAAATAATTTCATTAATAGATAGTACCAGACCAAGAGAATATTTATTAAAGTTATCAAGTTTAAACCGAGACTAAATGTATCCTTAATAAAATATAATCAAAAATGTTTTACATGTATTATGTCCCACAGGTTTAAACAGTGAATACATTTATGGAAATTATATGCAACATATGAGCACCAATGAGCAGGGATGCGTACAAATAATTAGGTAGCTAAATTTTAAACGGTAGTGAATGAAAAAATACTTACATGGTTTCAATTCACAAGGATTTTAGATCCTTGCATCTCACAAAAAAACGTAATTAATATTTTACAATAATCTTATTTTTTTTTTATTACTACGTTAATTATTTTATACTGTTTTAGTATGGTTTTATAAGTCTCTGCTTAAATTTTGTATAGCAATATATTCATATAGTTGAAAATAAGACTTTAAGAATAGATTGATTTGATAAATAAAATGTCCATCAGTAAATAGTTTGTGTTTATTGATATTATATTCTTAATTTTCGGAAAAGATTCATTAACAGGAATGTATGTTGATTAAGTTTCAATTCTTTTTTGTTTTTGTTTTTAATAGTTCAACCTTATAGCATCAAAATCCTTGCAATATGGTACGATTTTGAAAATTCTATTCATTGTGTTACATGTTACCAGCTATCCTACACATACACACGTCTTGATTTATTTACATTATATATCACCCTGTTCACACGACACACTATCGGTTTGCGTTCACCCAAATTCCGGATTAAAGGACAATGAATCCGGAATCAAAACACTTGAGGTAGGTAGTTTGACATCCGAATTCAACTATTAAACATTCGATTTGAGCCTAGATTAATAAATGCGATGATGCAAATGTGTATTCTTACCCAGAGTATCAGTGCGTATGCTTTCTATTTACTATATCTTGCGCAAGAAAACCACGTGCAAACATAAATATTAATTTCACTCGGGAATGTGAATTTTCGCATTTCTTATCTAAATTCAGGACACGGCAGTAAGAGTTTGACATGTGACTTTCAGGCATGGTCATCATTAAGGTATTCTGACCTCTAGCTGTTTCTCTTTTCTTTTTCTTTTTTGAGTGACTGTCCTTTTATAAACTCCGACATTTTCGAAATGCTAAGGATTTCTACCCCAGGAATAGATTACCTTAGATGTATTCGACAAAACCTTTGTTTCGAAATTTTGGGTCCTCAATGCCTTTCAACTTCGTCCTTTATTTGGCCTTTTTAACTTTGTGATTTCTCGCGTCACTGATGAGTCTTTTGAAGACCGAACTCGCGTCTGGCGTACAACATTTTCATCCTGTTTTTTTTATATATCTACATATCTTTTTATATAAATTGGTTTCTTTTGAGAGTATGTTCAGGTATTCATACAACTTCTGAAAATAAGATATTCTTCAAAACCAAATTTTTCTGTAAAATATTTGGATTGATTTAAGTAACTTCAGGAAATCATTTAAATTTGAGATGTTTTAAGAGACCAAAATACTTGTCAGTAAATAAGAGGTCCCAATGAAGCTGGTGTGTTACTCTCAAGAAAAATATACGAAACCTTCTTATAAGTTGCATGCCACACGGTCACTTCACATGGAAATTGATAGATAAATGCATCTAGATTATGAAGTAAACTGAGTGCTTAAATTTATATTGCGATTGGTTTGTGCAATTTGCGTTAGACATCCGGTTTTTAGAAACTGGGATATGCAAAAGCATTAAGAAAAAAATGATGTACACTCAGCCCAAGTAATAAATAAAATAGTCTAGCTTAAAAAGGTAAATTCAAATAGTAGCTGTATATATACACTTTTCTATTCACAACTAAAATCCAACATTAATTGACTTGTGCAAGAATTTACACACAATTATATATTTTCAATTAAGGTTTTAACATCATCATTATCTTATTCTATTCACAGTCAATTATGTCAAATCAAAAGCAAAAAAAAATAAGCAACAATCTTTTTATGACCAGCCAGCGGGCTCTGGTTCACCTGTTGCTTTCCTTTTTTAAAGAAAGCAACTTGTTTATATAATTGAATTGAATGTAATCATATCTCTCGTTCTTATTTAAAGCTATCATCTTGTATTAACCATGGTATCTTGGTGTATATTTGAAACACCCGATTTCGATTATTAATATATAAATAACACATAACTGAGAGGGTGATAGAGCAGATTGTTACCCCGAGAAAACATTGTCAACTGAGGCGAAGCCAAGGTTGACAATGTCTTTTCAAATAGATCTCACAATACGATATGCATACATGAATTATTAACACCTTCTATATATGCATTTAAATGTTTGTATACGATTGCACTAAGAATATCATATCAAAACGAGTGTATTAATTATTGCTCTTAAATTACCGACCTATGTAGAGGAATGATATATTTCAACGGAGGAGTAATTGTACGATATAAGTAAGTGTTAAGTTGATAGACAATAAGCAAAAGCGCTGTGCAAGACACATAAATACGAGGCAGGTCTATGTGAAAGAAGTAATAATTTACTACTGTACAATTCGGAACGAACAAATCGATTATTAATATATAAATAACACATAGCTGAGAGGGTGATAGAGCAGATTGTTACCCTGAGAAAACATTGTCAACTGAGGCGAAGCCAAGGTTGACAATGTCTTTTCGAGGGGTAACAATCTGCTCTATCACCCTCTCAGATATGTGTTATTTAATTTATTATACTGAATGTTCTGTTATTACTGTCGATTAAATATCAAATTCAAAGTAAAAAACTAGGACGTCTTGTACTTAACAACCATCCGTATTTAATAAAGCGCACACTTGATTAAGCGTCTCCGTGAAGGGTAATAGAGTATTTGCCATAGGATAGAGTCGTATTTAATAAAGCGCACACTTGATCAAGCGTCTCCGTGAAGGGTAATAGAGTATTTACCATTGAATAGAGTAAATAAACACCCTCGTATAAGCCAATCAAAATATTGCATTTTTACGTGAAGTATAATAATACATATTGCTTTCAGTGCAACATGAGATAAATAGATCTCACAATACGATATTCATACAAGAATTATTAACACCTACTATATATGTCTATGTGAAAGAAGTAATAATTTACTACTGTACAATTCGGAACGAACAAATCGAAAAAGGTAAAGTTAACAAAACAATGTAAGTTTTCGTATTTTTTTCATTTGAGATATTACTCTTTTTAAATAATTACCATCAATCAGTAATCACAACCACTCAGATATGAAAAGACTATATCTAATATATTTATGAGGTTATTTGAACATCTGGTTACTTTCATATCTGATAAGATAATAAATCATTCATTGTTTAAGATATATCAAAGTTAATCGAGATTGGACCGTTAAACATTATTACTTAATACGATTGAAATATGATGCTTCTTGTAGTTTCTAGGTCAGAATATTTAATAAGTCATCTATTACTTTCATCTTGTATTCTAGATAGTATCCTTTGATGGCTGACCTCAATTTTGACAACGGACGATGAACTGTTTGTACAGTCATAGATTGGTTTATACATCTATGGTACAGTGTAAGCTGTGTGAGTGGATCATTTTGTTGGTAAGTTTTGAACACTTAATCATTTATTCAATAGTTTAGTCTTTTATGAGGAAAATTTAAGTTATTATACCACAACACAGATAGTCATACGATATGAATGGAATTACGAATTATCAGCAAGGCTAAGACAAGACAATGTACGTCCATGACATATGCGTTGTAGTTGTGTTATTTGTTAATGATTCGTAGCATTTCATTTAAACCAATGTCATAATTTATCTTGAAGTTTTGAATGAAACCTAATCTTTCGTTCAATAGTCGTTTTTCACAAAGTTACCAAAATACTTTGAAAGTTTGTAAATGTGTTACTCTGTATTTCTTTTGTTATCTATATATTACGCGGTATATATATATTCATTATCAAAAAAAATCTATAAAGTCTACCATATGGATCTATAGTCAGCTTTGTGGAGAAAACATCACAAGTATGATTTACTTGTGTCTCATCCATCTTGCTTAGATTTAGCAAATAAGATATATAACTATAGTCAGAAGGATATTCACTTTTCATTGGGAAAAAGAGAGTTGCAAACATAACTTCCAAGTCTCCTTATCTTATGAAATGGTTTTTTTTATGTCTTTTGCAGAAAGATTTCTTACAACAAAATGGAGGCATTTTGCTTTAGAAAAAATAACGTTTAATTATCGATGAATCATTCCAATTTTTTTCAAGTCATTAATGAGGATCCATATTTATGTTTTTGATTATAACACTAAAAAAGTTTAAAGTGATATTAGGGTTTTTTCTTTTGCCTGTACGTTCGCTGGCCTGCCTTTTATATTCACAATACATCACAAGCAGAATATAATTTCAATCAGAAACTCTTAAAAAATAATCAGTACCTAGTAGAATCGTGCTCCTATTTTGGTTTACACCTGAATGATACTTAGTTGTTTTCCAATAGCAAAACGTACAATTGCAGTTCGTTTGGAAGCCTTTGATAAATTTTACGAATAACTTGCCTAGAGTCACAGAGATTCAGACATTTAAGTTACGTTTGAACTTTTTTTTTCAATTATTAAAACAATAAATTGACATCTAGATATCTTTTTTTTTTTTTTTTTTTTTTGTCTTGGTAATGTTGATTTGGTGTACAATTGACTTATATACCACTTACATCTATAAAAAAATATTCTCGCTGACATACGTAACCTAAAAGTTCTCAGGTTAAACTTAAACGTTTAATAGATGCCCACATATGATGCCCATTTCCCGATCTTAATACATAAAAGAAGATTTGAGGTAATAAACATAAATAGTTCCAAATTTTCTGTACCAGATGCGCATTTCGACAATCAATGTCTCTTCAGTGATACTTGAGGTCAAAATATTTGAAAATCCAAAGCATATTAAAAAGATGAAGAGCTATAACCCAAAAAGGACAAAAAAGTATAGCCAAAGCCGGGCAAGGAATCAGAGCTTTGCATGAGGGGCATATATTCCTAAATCTAAAAATTTTCAAAATTTTGTAACAGCTAATTTTAATAACACAAAATCCGTATTTTCATGCAGGTGTCTAAGTAAACATCAACAATGGCTAAAAGCCTAAACAACCCTAAAACACATTAAAGCTCAAAAGACATGATAAGGGCTTCATGAGGTCTTCAACAACAGAAAAACATAAAAATTATTACACAATTTGGATACTCACTTTTCCCTGTCCGCACACCCACCCATCCGTCACATACTATTAGCTGGTTTTGGACTTCCTCCAACCATTCCAACAACCACTGACGAGGTTTGACGTTTTCATATTGTAGAATGATAATCGGTCCAATTAATACCAGTCAGAAAGCACCATAGTGACACAAAATGGTCCAGAAATACAACGATCAGCGGAACAAAGATTTGGATCAAGGTTGGGCTTGGGTAATAATGATTGCTGCAACGGGAACCATTATGATTAATTCAATACTCCTTCATTGCACCGGAGTCCTGCATGTTGCTCTCCTGGAGAAATTTGAAGAGGACAATGCTTACACATCATTGATTGGATCAATATACAGCTGTCTTTTCTCATTTGCTGGTAAGTTGTTAAAGCAAAACAATAAGTTGCACATCAGTCAGTAACAAAACACAAAACAAACAAACAAACAAACAAACAAACCAACCAAATTGTACGATTTTCGTACGTACAACACTTGTTTCTGGTATATCGTTCTTTAAATACGCTCGTGAAAAAAAAGTTTCGAAAATATGTATCGTTTTGTGCCTAAAACAAAAATGTCTAGACAGAAAAGCCAATCCATGTATGGTCAAATTTTCTTGAAAGAGTTGTAACCTTACATTATTTAAAGTTGGTTTTTGCTATACACTTGTTTGCCATTTGATAATTTCAAGTTGGTTTTGCCTTATTACCTTGCTGGAGTATATAACGTATATACCTCTATTGCTGTGAAATCGACCACAATAAGTGAAAATTATATCTTTCCCATTTATTCGAAAAGTCAGTTGAAAAAAAAACCAATGACACGTCTTCTTCAAAACAGGGCGTTATTTATCATTTATCAATTTGCCCAATAGGAGTTCTTGATAACTTGATTTAATTGTATACAGGTCCTTTTTCTAGCATCGTAATAAATGCATTCAGCTGTCGAGTGGCCGTGATGTTTGGAGGAGTTGTAACATTGGTCGGATTTGGACTGAGTTTTTTTGCTGCTGTCAATCTTAACTATTTACTTGTTACATATGGATGTGTTGCAGGTAAGTAGGAATAAGTTACCCAATACATATGACTGAATGTTTCCTAAAACAAAACCTATCACCAGGTTTTAAAGGCAAGAGTTTTCAGTCATAAAAAAGAAGAATATATTCCTTCCAAGTATCCAATATACATTGAACAGAACCGCTCATGAAATTCCAAAATATTTTGTGAAGGATTACTCACCAAAACTGAATACGCCTACTGTCCTTACTCTGAGAGAATGAATTTGATATCTCATATTATATATTTGTTTTACATTTTACCTAAATAATTATAAAATCACCTCTCTTAATCCATCTGAAAATAATAATCCCAAAACAATCATACTTTACCTTGTATGTTTTTTTTTTATTTTATCTTTTTTTTATTTATGATGAGCATCTACTTGTAGGCAGTTCAATTATTTGCAATTTTTCTCAGTTTATATCTTAATTTTTTATTAAGTTTTGTTCTGTTAAGAAAATAATAGAAAGGATAATACAATATGATAACTCTGAGTTTATGGGTTCCTTTCTTTTCGATATCACTTTTTGCCAGAATGTTTTCTTATAAACGTGCTCAATATAAGGGAGTTCAATCTAGAAGGGATAGATTTTTTTGTGAGAAAATTCTCTACTCAGTTAATAAAAATTTCCTGATAACAATTTCCTAAGATAAATTCTAAGTTCCAAATTTATCATATTGATAAAATGACCATTCAATACAGAGTTTGTTTTGTATTATTCAGTATGTATATACATTGTTGAAGGCAGTAAATTGCTCTATAGTAGTTTTCATCCTTGTCCTTTGATCTCTAGTAGATATATGTCTCATTCGCAATCATACCAGATCTCTTATTTTTTAATTTGTTTATCTAGTATCATAATTGAAACTGTGTTACATGCATGTTTTTAAAATCTTAACGTATTCATTGTTGAAGTTCGTACATTGCTCTATAGAAGTTCACATCCTACGAGTCGCCAGGTAAACTAAATTTGCGATAGTAAAACTACCGATGGACGTCCGCAAAGCTTCAAATACAATACAGTTATCTCTAAATCTAGTAGATATATGTTTCATTCGCAATCATACCACATCTCTTATTTTTTAATTTATTTATTTATGATCATAAATGAATCTTTGATACATGTTTTTTTTTTTAAATCTTAACATATAATTTTCGAAGTAAGACTTCCGGCATTTATATTTAAATGTGTCACTTGGTTCGAATTGGAGATGTAACCACAAAATCTTTTAAAATATAAAGCTTGATTATGTCAAATGTTACAAAAATTGTGGGAGGTGGTGGTTCTCTTTAGACATAAGTGAACTTCATTCTTATGATCATTGCTGAACAATCGTTTGTTCGCAATCAAATCAAAGAATAGGCCACCTAGGCAACACTAGCTTCTTCCAATTTTTAGTGGGTCTTTTTTTATCAATTATATCCACTGTTTGGCTGGATGAATGAAATAATAAAAAGAAACAGTAATAGAGATAGAGTACACCAACGGTTCTCGAAATAAATTAAAAACTAATGCCATCGGTGTAATTTAATCCGTCTAGACGTACAAAAATTTGTCTTACAATTGTGAAATTAATGCTGAAACAGATTTCTGTCGCTTATTAGCTGAGGAACAAATCATAACCTGATTCTACTTCCTTATTTTACATATCAAACATGTCATGCACGTTTAACCTAATTACTTAGGGAAAATAAAGAGGTTCTTTCCATTTTATCTTGACTCGCCAAGATACTTTATACTTCTGCATTTCATCCAGTGTAAACTGATTTTAGACATATTCATCTCATTCGAGGAAGAGAAATATAATCATCAGCCGATTGTTTTGTCACATTCAAATACTGGTTATGTGTACCTGCTGTTGCTACTTGTAAGCAGAGTTTATTTTAATAAAAAAAATGATTATCAAAAGTATCAAATAACGTATATAAGCAAATATAGGTCATCGTCCGGTCTTTAATAATGACCAAATACCCATACCGTAAGCTACAAGAGGCTCGGAATGGCAAATTGTGACAGTTCATTAGGAAAAATTTACGGTATGTTTATGCCAAAAAAATAAACTAAAACTAAATACAGTAGACAACAACCAACGACAACCAATGAACTACAAGTTCCGATAGTTAGTTATCGGAAAAGATATTTCAGGTTCAACAAAACTAAAGGGGACTTCCCAAGTTACTTGGTTAATGAAACAAAACTCATAAATGTTTCTCATTGATATGTTAAACATCATAAAAGCCGAACGAATTCGAACCGGAAAATCCGGATGAAATGGTAAGTTTTGGACATAAGAACGCCCGTTTTGTAAAATCAGGTTAATGAATAGTCAGTCTACAGAAATAGAAAACTAATACCAATGAAAATAAAGATTACATTTATACCAATGAAACCAAAGCTTTAATTTTGAAAGCATGTTAATGTTGCACATCGAGCTATGTTCTACACAAACAATAATCTGTTTAGATTTAAAAATTAAACATTCTATATCAGCACAATGACATTATGTTATTCATTTTTTGGTTTCATTAAGTTCATGTTATTGATGTAATATACTTTCAGTACGAAATATATGTCAGTTTATTGTATCATCTACTTGAATATGTTTTATAGGTATTGGCGTTGGTATGAGTACGATTTCCGCCATAACTGTTATTGCATATTTTTTCCACAAAAAGTATGGTGTTGCAATAGGTATAGTAATGAGTGGAGCTGGTTTTGGAACATTTATAACAGGTCCTTTGGTGCAATATCTTATCATGGAATATGGACTTCAAGGCACTTTCCTGTTCTTAGCTGGACTCGGAGGAAACAATATGGTCATTGGCGCGTTGATGTTTCCCTCTGACTAAGAACATAAACATAAAAGAGAATCCAAATTAAATTACAACAAAGATACAACACCTAAACGACAATGCTGTATAAATTACGATTTACAGAACTTTCTTCATATTAACATTTTTTTAGATAAAACTTTTATGTGTTGTTGTGTTCACTATTGCTTATGGAGTATGGCTTTCTCTATACTTATGCTACATTTAATAAATTACGCAATAATCCAAGGAACTACAAATGAAGCAGCTGCATTCCTTATGATATACGTTGGTATAGCATCGGCTATCGGAAGGCTAATATCGGGTTTTTCAGTCGGTTATAATGATTTAAATCCAGTTTTGTTAAACTTTGGATGTAATGGCATACTAGCCTTAGCAACTGCATTCTTTCCCTTATATTCTGACAAATATTCAGGACAAGTCATATTTGCTGTTATATTTGGATTATACTCTGGTGGCTTGAGCACAATGATTAGTCCGTTGTGTATGGATCTACTTGGGGCAAAAAAGGTTGCCAGTGGAGTCGGTACTTTATTTTTCATTGGTGGAGTAGGATATCTTGCAGGACCACCAATATCTGGTATGTATATGACTCGTCATATGATCATTTAGGTAAAATTAAATCCCGAAGAATCTTGTTTATTGGATAAATCTAATTCAAACATTGGTAAACTATTGTCTAATTTACTATATTGGATAAGATATTACTATTTTGAAAGGATATTGGGTCTAGTTTTTTAAACACAACTCAACTATCAATCTCTTTACAGGTTTGATTTTAGACTACAGAGGAGAATACAAAGAAAGCCTGTATTTATGTGGTAAAAAAGTTTGGTTTGTTTTTAATTTACCTTATATTGTCAACCATTGTGACGGATAATCTATTCTCTAATTTTTATGCTATTTTCACATTTCTCGATCGGTGTGAGAAAAATATTTCTCATCTCTAGAGAAAACTTTGTTCTAGGCAAATAATTTGTCGAAATTCAATTATGACGTCAAATTTTCTTGATTTCTTCTGAATTTGCTATTGTGACGTCATGAAAAAAGGCGACCATGTCTGATGACGTCACATATAAAGAGCAAAACTTTCTGCAAATCTTTGAAAAGGAAGGATACACTTTGCTAAGATATCGTAAAATAAAACATTACAAAAACAGATTCCACCACTATATCTCGTGTTTTACGATATTTCTCTACTCTCAACAGTTAAATTTTAAATATTTAAAAAGCTCGGCAAGCTTTGCGTTTTAAATTTTAAAATTCAACTGTCTCGAGTAGAAAAATATCGTAACACACTTGATGCAGTGATGGAATCGATATCTGCATAATATAACAAATTGCATCCTTATAATTTATTAGAATACTTTATTAGAATACAAATAAAACTAAAAGAAATGCAATGATTTAGGGCATTTGCGTTTGGCTAACTCTCAGAATATCCCTGGCACCTATTGATACTCTTACAAGCGAAATGCTCATGCTAACTATGAGTATCGGCTACAATTAGATATTAATACATATACGAATTTAAGCAAACATGGTAAGTCATAGCATTAATAGACGATTCACGCGAATAATCTATAATCTTGCAAAGAGAAAATCAACCTTCTAAAGCTATCTTTAGGTCTAAAGTTCAAAGTTTTTAAATGAATTCAAAACCATTTATTTTAGTTTTTGTGTGAATAAAAGCATAGATTAAGCTGATCATCTACATCAGTTCACGTCTTTGTACTTCTCCCTGGGAACCGTTTTCCCAGTAGCTACATTCTAAATTTTCAGCTTATCATTAATGGGTATTGCATTAAAACTTAGGGTGCAACAACCTCAGGTAAACTTTATCTCACATGATTCTTATTATTTGTTAATAATTTTTTCCCCTATTTTGCTTTTCAAATTGTTTGAGTCAATTAAGATCATTCCATTAAAACCCGTGTCTTCTGCAGTAAAATAGATGCATTCGTTTATGTAAGACGCCGATAAAAATAAAACTATAAAATCGAATTCAGTTTTTAAAATGATTGATTCGATTGAAACCCTGGTTAGTTGAGTATTTTGATAGTGAAGAATTACAATCTCTGAAGGTTTGTCATATTCTTATTTTCCAGGTTGTCTCTTCCTCCTATCAGCCATGTTTACGATTGGTACAACTTTATTCAGAAGTCAACTCAATGAACACGAGGTTACTATTTCGTTGGACAATTTAAAAGATCCAAATTTTAAAATATTTGATGAAAAGTTGTTACATAATTTGAACGTATCCGTAGAAGTTCTTCCGGAACAAACACCAATTTGTAATAAGGAAAAAGATGCACATCAAAATTATGTTGCAGATGATAAAACAAATGAACAGACTCCTTTAACAGAATAGTGTGCACAATAAGAATTTAGATTAAAATGAAGTGAGACATTATTAATGATTCTTTATTAATTTGCAGCAAAATTCATAAAAGTTAGTTATGACATTCCAGCAGCGCCTGCATACGGAGTATATATCTCCCAGTTGATATGATACTCCAGGGCTTGTATTTCCTATCATGATTTCCTTGGTCGAAGGTTGCTGCTCACAAGGAAGCTATTAAATCAAGAGTTCCAAGTAGTGAAGTTAAAATCGTCCCTTCGTAAATTTTACGGACGCCATCACGAGTTGGTTGACCGTTACGGAATATCCGTTTCACAGATGATAGCGGATATGCTCCTAATGTCGTAACTACAATCCTGTCCCCTTTTCCCGAATGTGACCTACCGAATTAGACTTTTTACCGGTTTTGTACTAACTTAAGCAACACGACGGGTGCCACATTCGGAACAGGATTTGCTTACCCTCCCGGAGCACCTGAGATCACCCCCAGTTTTTGGTGGTGTTCGTGTTGCTCAGTCTTTAGTTTTCTATGTTGTGTTTTGTGAACTATTGTTTGTCTGTTTGTCTTTTTCTCTTTTAGCCATGGCGTTGTCAGTTTATTTTCGACTTATGAGTTTGAATGTCCATTTGGTATCTTTCGCCTCTCTTTTTTCTTGTCAACGTACCTTTATGTTGTTGTATGAAAAGGAATAACGTCCATAATTATATGCATGAACATTGTATTTTAGTTCCCATTTCTTATGTTGGTAACATTTTTTTCTGACATCCAACATCTGAATTTCATATGCCCAGTGCCTTGATAGATATGCTTGAAGCTACTATTTCTTTGATATTTTACAAATCTTTCTTATCCCACTTTGACAAATTTTACCAAGCTGATATTTTACATATACATTTGAATGTACATAACTATTCGTAATGTCAAAATGGTCAATAGCAAAAAGGTGAATGAAAATATTCAGTACAACAGGTAAAGACATTAGGCAGATTGATGCTCTTGACATGATACTAACAGGTATGTCTACTATATCGACAAAATAAACACAAAGTTGATCAATCTCTGCTAGACTCAGCTCAATCTCAAACTGGTGACATTTCCTTTAATCTATGACCTCTTGTGCAATTAATATTTCTGTCCGTTTTTTTTTTTTAATTAAACCGGTGTCCGATTTTAGTTCAAGTAATTGGAATTATTAACTTCATAAGTACAAAAGTAAATAATATTAATAAAACTTGTACTATCATAGTTATAATCAATTCAAATAATGATAATAATGATAAGAACTGAATGTGCCGATACTAGTATTTCTATCTTATAGCTATCAGCAAAAATTAGAGATTTTGCAATGCTTTGGAGATCGAGAAAAATCAATTCCCCTAAATAGTGGTTTTGGTGATTATAATATCTGAAGACAAAATATAGCCATGCCGGAAGAATTTTCTGAAAAAATATTTTAAACGTAAAAATAAGAAGATGTGGTATGATTGCTAATGAGACCACTCTCCACCAGAGACCAACTGACATATAAGTTAACAACTATATCTTAAGCGGCACATTTATCTTCTTTGGATGAGATGTAAAATTTTGTTTGGTTTATTAGTCGTCCAAGCTTACTCCCCACTTTCCCCATTGATCAACATTTAAACGATAAATATTTGGGAGAACAAATTAGTCTAATGATAAACGTAGTTCAGTGTCCAAAAATATACATACAACTTTATCATGAGAAACATTTGGTTCAATGTTTTCTTTGTTAGAAGCAACCTTTTATCAAGATAACCATGATAGGAAACGAAAACCTTGTATGATCATTCAATCAAGTAATGTTTTATTTACTTCGATAGTTTTACGAACGCCACCATCTTTTGGATAATATCACTCACAAATGATTGATATATGTAATTTGCTGTAGTAACAATCCGTCCTCTTTTCCTCTATTGTGAACTGCCGAATGCAACTTTTCACGGGTTATTAAATTATATGATTAATACTAGAAGAGCAGGAACTTTTCACTCTTTTTAAGCATCTGAGTTTACCCTAGTTTCATTTTAAAAGGGTTAATGTTGTTTATGCTTTAGTAGTTGTATGATGTGCCTTTTAATTTGTGAATATATTTGTATGTGTTGTTTCTTCTGGAAACAATCCTTTCTATCCATTGTCTTGCAAAACAGTTTTTTTTTCATTTCAAATTTTCACGTAAGGGAAATTACATGTACAGATGATTTATAACTGGTCATGTATTATGGTTCGACGCAAGACATTTACCATTTTACTATTGCATGATGACTAATCATTTGACATGTCAATTATACACTATATCAATCCCCTGATATGATACTTTTAAAAAAGTAAAATGTTCAAATGTAAATTTAAATCAAATAGATTACAATACAACCATGTGTTTTGCAGGCTCAAGTCAAGCACGATTGTTTCTCTACAAAATATGTTTGAAAGGAGATTAGCATGGATCACGATTGATCAATTATAACATTAGCATGGATCAAGAATTATCATTAAGAACGATCTGTACAAAAAGAGCACTTTATCATTACTGTTCATTTATGAATATTGACATTGACTTTAAGTATACTGGCCCTGGAAACAGAAGCTCAGTAACCGATATCATAGTCCATTATGTGAACATGGTGCAAGATTGTTTGTGTTGTGTCGCTTTCCCGCCAATCTGCTTAAGATGGTCCTTCAAAACATTAGTTGAATTCTAAGAGAATGAAAATTTTCATTGATCCAATGCTTCTGTGTCATAATAATTTAAAGATTTAGTCCTTAGAAAAGGTGTAGAATAACGCTCAAAATGTGAACGGAATATTGCAAATAAGTCTCTTCTTGAGTCATCTTGGAATTTCTACACACTTGGTGAGCTATGACGAATCATCATACAACATGGGGTACAACTGAAATCTTGTTCTGACCATTAAAACCTGAAAAAATAAATCAAAACAGCAGCAGTATATCGACAAAATACACACATTTTCAAATCAAGAGGTTGGAACGTGGGTTTTTCTCACATTACCAAATATAAATATTTATACAAAACCTAGAATTATACTCTGCCACAAAATGTCTGCTTATTCTTCTTAGACTCTCTGAACGGTAATGCAGACGAAATACTGACGTCACAAATGTTATTGATTCACTGGGCCACATGACCTTTCCGAAGTTTGATTTTCTGAAATCGCAGACCTACCTATATAGAAACTGTATCAAGAATGGTAACTCGAATACCAACTGCGTCTGCAACTTCACAAAGTTTTAGGATTAGTATTAGGATAGATTGAATTAAGTTAAATGTTCAAATGTAAATTGAAATCAAATAGATTACAATACAACTATGTTTTTTGCAGTTCAAGTCAAGCACGAATGTTTCTCTACAAAAGATGTTTGAAAGGAGACACGCAACTCGCTTGCGTTTTGTTTTTTGTTGTTTTTTTTTTTGGGGGGGGGGGGGGGGAGGTGTGTTACAGTTCAGCAAAAAACGATGAATACATGAAGTAAAAAATAAAGTGCAAACAAAAACAAAGGTGATTCCTCAGTTCAGGAAATCAGTGAATAGAAATCTTAATTCAAAACTTTTGATATGTGCATTAACAAAAAGCACAAAAAGGTCATTCACAATGCTGATAAAAGACATACATAAGTCACTTTTCACTTAAATTTATTGAACATTAATAGAAGTACATTCATCTGTACTAAGATCCTGTTGCAGTATATGGTCATTATCAGACGTATTAGGTAGTATATCAACTGCCTTATAACCGTTTCTTAGATTATGTTTTGATTTTTCGTACGACGATTTCATGTCAACACACTTCGTCAGCATTTTTTCAGCAACATCACTGTATTCGCTTATAACGTCTTTCGAATGACATATTTGATTTATTTCCACCGATTTGCTAGCGTCAGGATGCAGTTCATCATTCCGTATGCTAAATGCAGGATCTTTGAGATTCTCTACTGATACCACAACTACCTCTTTTGTTGGAATTCTCCAGTTGTTTGAGATCAATGTAAAAACTCCTGCCAGGAGAAATAAAATACCTGGAACATATAAAAACAATATGTAATAAATTTGTCATTTACGAAATGTATTTTATATGAAGTTAATGACTCTTCATTATCTTTCAATATAATTCATACTGCCCGTGTGATAAAAATGTTTCTCTGCTAGATTTTATTTTTCTGAAAGACAACACATGACTGATACAGATTCCGCAATATAAAGAAAAAAATACTTGATATATTGTACACTGATGGTAAATTTAATGTAAGGCGTAAATTTGGTTTTCAAGAAGCAGCATTGTATCGTTGCGATTGTATACTTTTTAAACGTCCGAACGCACCAGCAAGTCATTATAATTATAAACCTGGTATCTCTTTGATGAGCTTTTTTTATACTCACTTAAATTAAATTTATATGTATTCTACTTTTTAAAAAGCAAAAGAAAAATAAATTATAGTCAATGAAAAGTACAAATATGTTTACAGGAAAACCAGTACGTACTGGTAATGAACTGTAAAGGAACAGTGTTGCGAATGTGTGTTAACATCCAAAATTTTTTTTTTTTACTACTTTATCTATTTCAATGTGATCGAATAAGAGTTGTTAAAACAGATATACGTTGATACATATGCACATTTGTATCGGTTAACACGTTCTCAAATTACTCTTTGAATTTTCATTCTTCCCAAACAAGAACATGGATTTTTCTTTCCAATTGACAAATAGATTTCCGTTTTAGTTATGTAAGATAACAATGGCGTTACATAATTCGTTTTTTTTGGTGTATGCTGCATTGAAAGTTGAGATTTGAAAGAACAAAGTTCCGAAATTTTTATAATTTCTGATTTCCAAAATTATAAAAACGTTGTAAAGCCATTATATTTATTAGTGTAATTGCTAATGCGATGAAGGCCCATAGATTATGTACGGTAATAGTGAAAATCGACACTGTTTCCGTCGAAAACCCCAGTTAAAAGCTTTTAGATGAACCTAGGACTATTTCAAATCAATACTACCGAAA